GACGAGGGAGTCGAGTCTGTCCGTGAGGGCGATGCAGCAGACGATATCCCAGGCCTTTTATTCGGGTGCTTCTGCTACGGTGCAGCTGCAGGAGCTGCTTTTCTAAGTGGAGTGGAAATGACATCTGCATACGAAGGGGCAACTTTCACAACAGTGACCGACGTTATGGGGGTTAGAGAGCTTTTTGACAATGGTAAGCTGGCAGGCAGAGCTATTATCTTTGAAGAAGCAGATAAAGCAGGCAACTGGGTGTGTGTGGGTTCCCAAGTAGCCCGTGCTTCTACTGTTGCTTTTATCGTCGCGCTCAGTTCAGCCGTGTGCGTCCCCTGCCGTGGGGTGACCACTTGTGTCGGGCATTTTAGTCGTTTGCTGGGTTTCCGGATCGGGTTAGTTGGTGTGATCCGTGAACTTAAGTCTGCTATTTATGCCTCAAGTGTGGCGATTTTTGAATTCGCTCTTTCTTCGGCTCCTGACAATAGCTGCTCGTACTTGTATGTGATACAAGTGATGCATTTTACAATCGGGATTTCCGCACATTCTGTACAGCACCATATACGTTCTGGCTGAGTAGCTAACTGTTTTGCCTATTTCAACAAGAGTTTGGCACATGAAAGTTGAAAGTGTTTTGGGCAGTGTGCAAAATATCCCCGTTTTAACTTCTTTCTTACAACTCCGTAGGTCGCATACTTCCGATGCCGTCGAAACACTTGGTGCGGCACGTGTTGACAATATGTGACGTCCCATTTTTGCACTTTATCGAGCGGGGAGACTGACGAAGTATGAAAAAGGCCACGTGAAGCCGGAGAAATTGTCTCGGTCGTCCGCTCGTCCGGATCAGTGGAGGTCACAAGTACACAGAAGAATGACAAAGGTCTCTTCGGGAATATCGATGGGCTTTTCTGGCCGTCGTGGAACAGACACAAGTGCGACTGCGTGTGGCAGCTACGATTGCACTGAACTGCACAAATAGATCCATAGAATGCTTGAAATTGAACCTGGAAAGCTCAATCAGGGCTCGTTGGAAAGGTTGTTGAATTTCCTATCGATAGATATCACAACGTTGACACAGCGAATAAATTTGTACAATTTTGCACGCATGAGTAAATCCCAAAGCTTCGATGATAACAGAAAAACTGCTCAATGGAGAGATGTGAGTGGTTTACTTCCAATGAAATGATATCACAAGATAGAGCTCACAGAACTGCATCGAATGAACGTAGACTCGACGATGTACGATGAGATTTCCCAGANGCAGTTGACTTCCTTTAAGCACAAACTGTATCAAGCTTTGACGAGTCTTAAATTCCAACATCCGTAGCAGTGCACGAAACAAGGATAAATTGTGACATTCGTCTACTTTCTATGAACCGTGAATCAATTCATCTGTTCTAAACCCTATGGGACTAGAAAACCTACCGCTAGCATGTATTTCCCATAATAAAATTTTGACTTTGAAACTTTGCGGCAGTTAATGATTTAACCTTCAAGGTGCACACAGCAATGTTTTGATCTCAGTTCACATAGAGTCAGTTGTTAAATCATACGGTACACGGAGAGATGAGCAATGTCCATCTTTATGTTCAATAATGTGAACAAATCTAAAATTGCATCAGATCTGTAAATTTTTAAATTTGAATTTTCTGCGATAACTTTATTATTCTCTATGTTGCTTGAGAACGTGAGACTCCTTGATTTTTCGGGTAGCTTCTGGACAAATAATGGAGCAAATTTTCAATAATTTGAAAGCATAATTTTGGATATGATGTAACAAATTATGATTTGAAAGCAATGTATAAAAGAACCTCTTATAACTGACAGTGCTGAACAGGTAAATGATCTTGAGTTGATAAGATTTGCACGTACTAGAAAAAGATCAACTAGATATGTAATAATTTGTTGTCAAACGGCTATCCTGATGAATTAATTGGCAAGTACAACAGATCTACTGTTGAAAAGCCTATTATTACATCATATCCGAGATCACAAGTTAGTATTTATTTTACATTCGAATTTAACGGCATAAATTACCTGTTTGTACAAACGTTTTACAACCGTTGAAGTGTGCAGTCACTCCAACATATTGTCCAGAGATAATAAATTGTGTCTGTATTAGTACTACAAACTTCACGTCTACCTATTTCTATGTGAATGCAATGACAGTTATGTCCGCGAAACAGCAAACTAATTATGCGGCGGAATTGGTGGAAGTGGGTAAGCATTTTTCTTGTATATGGCGATCTGGAAACAATCGTAGTCAACGCAACCCCTGTGTACTTGCTGATGGCGCTAGGTTCATAGTTATCCACTGCTGGAAACTCTCATTCTACATTGCGACAAAATATTAGATACTCAACCGCCGAATTATTCGTTCCATGGGCTCATTAAATACGAGTGCCGGTGTATCAGGTACTGTTGGTACTCACTATCGGCTAAACAGAATCAATATCAGAGAAGTTTCAACATGATCCAACCCAGCACAAACAGTATTAGTTTTCGCTATCGATTCAAACCGAATGGTTGAGGACTACTACACAGCATGGAATGAACTATATCAAAGAATAAGGGGTTTTTATACAACCGATTTTGTATTTTGCGGGTATTCTCTACGCTGCAACTGATTATATACGTACATTCTGGCATCCCGTACTTTTATAGTAAATGAACAAAAATTGGCCACACTACCAGTAGTACGTGGACGTGTTCAGCGTTCCAAACAAAAAGCAAACACTTTTTCTAGGAAATCAGATGACATCTTTTCAGGGTTTTTTCTGTTTTCCTTCTCTCATTAAAGCAGATTAAGCTTTGGTTGTTTGAATATTGTTGTTCAAATTTTTGGCGATTTGTTTTTTTATTCACGAACACCAATTTATTGTCCGAGTCACTTCGGCCAGAGCGTTTGCACTTTTCCGCAATTGAGCTTCTTCTTCCGGGGACAGGGATAACGGCACAATGTATTCTGCCCCATTCGCGGTCACCAGTACGGGTAAGCTCAGATAGACATTGTCTTGTATGTTATAGAAACCCTGAAATGGTGGAGGAACTAAGCCATTCATTCAGCGTATAGAATGATAGAATCCATGCAAATGACAAAACAGAAAACAATGGTATTGATACTAATTGAATGAGGACGTATGGCATGTAATTCCACGAAGTAAATTCTGAAGAATAACAAAATTTAGGACGCTGTTAAACTGAAGATTCGTTCCTGTGCACAGACAGAATAACTCAGGTTCATATTATGTCACTGTTATAAACAAGAGTTTTTATTCTATCATATGCGTATTGTTTACCCCCACCTGGGATTAACCTCACTTGCCAACCAAATCCACGATTTTTCAGTACCGGTTGAATATTTTCACATTGTACTTTGTCTTAAAACAATCAAAAAAGAGTAGTGTTTTGTTGAATAGGAGACTCTGTTAAGAAAATATATAGTG